GGAGGTTTATTGGTTATTTCGGAACCAGCGTAGAAAGTCCTTAGTTACCGTCGAGAACAGAAAGTTACAGCAAAGTCCATCTGGGTCAGTCCGGAGTCCAGAGTCCTCTGTAGTCCCAGCCCCTGAGCGTCTTCTGTTTCCCGTAGCCCACACTGAGCAACCCCACCTGGCCCCTCCTCAGTCCTTTGTTCTTGTTACCGGGGAAACCTTGTCACCTGACCCTTCTCCTTAGCCCTTTGTTCTCCAGCTGGTCACAGCCCACTGCCGTCTTGCAGAGGTGGGGCCATCCATGGTCCTTAGCTGCTAGACATGAAATGACAAGAAAATTGGAGTGGCCATTGTCTTCTGGTGCTCTTCATGGGCATGGGGCCCCAGGCTGCTAGCCATCAGCCACACCCAATATCTGGGTCTCTGCAAAGAGTAAACAATCTTTTCCCACCACCTGATTAACCATGCAGCACATTGGGGAAACTGAGGCATGCACCCGATTAATAGAAAATTGCCATATGGTGACACAACCCAATATCTCAGCTTTATTTGCTGCCTCTAATCTGGGCCACTCCCTGCATCTCAGACATTCTGTGGTGGGCATGAGGGTACCACCTGATCAGCAAAGAATGGGCACTGAGAGGGCACTGCTGTGGGGTAGCTCCAGCACTGGGGTCCCAGGTGGGCACTGCTCAGGGGAAGCTCACACCACTGGAGACCTGGCTGGGCACTGTCGGGCCACCCGCTGTGAATCTTCATCCCTGCAGCTGCCTGGATTCCTCTGTCCTGATTTCTATCAGGCAGGGATTGGTTCCTGTCATGTTACCCTGACCCCTTGCTGGCACCAATACGCCAGGATCCTCTGCTGCCGTTGTGTATCAGAGGGGAAGGTGCTACCCTGAGGTGCTCGGCATTCGGGGGTGAAAGCACCATAGGATACAAATTCTTCTCTCAAAGCAGGGATTTGGTCTCTGAAGAGGTCCCTGGTCCCAGTGGAGTGACCGGCTGATGCTCACAGCTGAGACAGAGACAACCCGTCCCGTACCCCTGTTGTGCACTAGGCAACCCAGTCCAGCCAGCGGATCCCACACAGAGTGTCCCTGCCTCCTGCTGGGAAACATGTGGCCACTGTGCAGGGTTGGGATTCAGTGAGATACAGGGGAGCAGTGAGAGGAAACACGGTGGGTGGAAAAACTCCCCCCTCCCTTCTCCACATCCACACTGGCTTCCTCATTTCTGTGCAGTACTTTCTAGCTACTGCTAGGCAGGTCTGATGGCCGGCTGACGGGTTCTCCCCCCTCTTCTGCATTCTGGGGGCAGTGGCAGAAATGGGGTGAATAACCTGATGGAAATGGGGGTCTTGGAGTTGAACCATTTGCATCAACAACCCTTCCCCCCTCCAACACACTTTCTGCACCCCACTTCTCCAGCATGGAGAGTGTGGGGTAGTGAGAGCCCAGCCCCACAACTCCCTAGGGGGGAGCGTGTTACTGGCTGAGACTCCAGCACCCACCAGGCAGGAGGTGAGAGTGCAGCGGGGACCGGAGGTGGCTCATTTCTTGGTGGGATCCCCTCACAGTTGTCCCCCTCCCCAATCCCATCCAGATGGGTGGGAGTTGGAGCTCAGATATTGGGAGAGGATCTAGCCAGGCTGTGCTGGGCCCAGCAGGTACTGGGGAGGGGGCGCTGTTCCCACAAGTTTCCTGGAGAGCTCCCCCATGTATATCTGCCATCAAGTGAGGCCCTGGGTTGGGGCCTTGTTCCCCCACCTGCTCTTCCCCTCTGTAGCGAAGTGAGACTCACCCCTGTGGTGCCTCTTGCTGGTCATCTTGGGAATTAGCTCTTCCGGCCTCTGGAGCACCCTCTGCAGGCTGGTGTCTCACCTGCCACTGGACCCCATGTCCCTCCCAGACCCCAGTGTCCTTTACATCAGGGTTCTGCCCCCTACCAGCAACCCACAAACTCCCCTCCCAGGGGAACCCCCAAACCCCTATCGCCACCTTGCCTCAGTGGCTACTGCCAGTCTCCATTTAGCCCCCGCTCCCTGGGGCAAATGCCGTCTGTAATCCACTCATCACCGGCAAGGGGGGTTGGACCAGCTGTGTCTGCCTATTCCTGGGCAGCCCCTCTGCAGCCCCAGTGCCCTTGTTGTGGGCCCTTAACTCAGCCTGGGACTTAGCTAGGCTGGA